GCAGTGTGGGGACTGTTGAAACATGTAAGTTAGTGCGCATGCAGCTCGACACCGCAAAATTTGCGGGCGAGGAGTTTTTTTTTGTCCTGATGGTAATTATTTCACTTACAACAAGCAATATATGAAATTCCATACGGGCAAGAAGCACGTAAAGTCACTACCGAAGTAAACAAAGTGTGTATCGTGTGAGAAAAATTTTCCAAGATATTATTCATTTCAACAACATCGCAAGAAAGATCACGGTCTGAAGGCGAGGAAAACGAGTGATTCTGTTGCTGATTTGAATAAAATCTTGAAAAACGAGGAGGATAGTGATCAGCTACGAGATGGGTTGAATGCCTGCCAACACTTCTTGACAGACACCGAGATAGAAAATGGACGCCACAAAGTATTCAGTTTACAATTTTCAAAACTAGATCCTAATCTAGATAATGAAAAACTGGATCAATTCTTTGAAAAACTTGATTGTGCAGCAAAAATCAACATTGCTTTGGGATTTGTGTTACGCAATATAGAAACGGGTGAATATCGTTATTTCTACGCTCATGAAAATAACACCCTCTTTAATAAATCTATACTGCTTTGTACTAAGCAGACATGACAACTATACAGAACAAGGTCTATAAGCAAGATATCATTGAAGTTTGTACACAGGAGAGACAAAAAAAACGAAATAGCGATTCAAGCTGATCACTTATGTGAACATTTTTGCTGTCCAACGGAAAAACTTACCCATAGGATGTCCAGATCAGTGATTCCTGAACCAATTCTGAGGAATCACCAGGTTAATTGGTTGATTTCCGATGCGCACACCCAGCAACCATACAATGAAAATTTGTGTTTGTTTCGAGCACTTGCAGTTCATTTACATGGAACAACTTACCTTGAAACATCCACCTCCATGATTTTTAATGCTTTTCTTGAAAAAATCAGGTGGTGATCGGAAACAATTTTGTAGAGTTTCGTTGGACAGTCTACCAATAGTTGAAGATGTAGTAGAGAAAAACATCTTTATCTACGATATCGACATTGAAGACGGAAACTTCGTAGGAAAACTAGCTCGGAGAAAATTCGGTAAATACGAGAATAAATTTAAACGTCTATGATACAACAGCCACATTATTTACGTCAATAACATCAACGATTTCTTCAAATGCTTCCGATGCCCAACTTGCGATAAATTTTTCCACAAAGCAGACCACTCAACCGCCATCTTCTCTGTTGCAAGGACCGAATCAAAAACATTTACCCAAAGAATGTTTGTTTTCTACGAGAGACGTTGTTTGAAAAACTGGATGGGTTCGATATTGAGTACACCAAACAACAAACCATATTCAAAAATGTCGCTTTTTTTGACTTTGAATCAATTTGCGTGCCATCCGAAGAAGTAAAACCAACCGAAACAATATTTTGAATTGGGAAGCATGAACCCGTATCAGTGTCAATTTCATGGAACTTGCTTGACAAACCCATATTTTTTGTGACAAAGATCCTCAATCCCTCAATACTGACTTTTTCGCAATTTTGGAGTTGTTAGCAAAACAAAATAAAACCAAAATTTGATCAAAGTTTCGGGAAATTGAAAATAACATCAAAAAAGGGTTACACGCAACTTTTAGCCTGCTTAATGAATGAGGTTGTTTCAGTAAGAGTGAAGCAAGAGAGTACAAAGACGAATGTATCGAGGATGAGGAAGAAACAGACGCTCTCACTCACTTTTTCGGGATTCAAAAAAATCGATTGATTGGTTTGATGGAACATCTAGAGAGATACACCAATACTTCGCCAGTATTTGGATTCAACAGTGGTCGGTATGATATAAACCTCATTAAATCATACCTCATTCCCTACCTTATCAACGAAAAATTAATTGAACCTTCAAATATCAAGAAAGCAAACGACTTTGTTTCGTTCAAGTTTGTAAATGTTCAGCTTCTGAACATTATGAAGTTTTTGGGTGGAGCTACTACTTTAGACTCTTTTCTAAAAGCTTACAAAGCCAGTTAGATGAAAAGTTACTTTCCATACGAGTGGTTTGATACTCCCAACCAGCTTGATGAGCAACAACTACCCTCGTATGAAGACTTCTACGGCAAACCCTCTCAGAATAGCCAGAAGAATAGCAACCCTCTCGATAAAGAGTTTGATGATTATCAAAAACTTCTTAACACTGGGATAACTGAAGAGCAAGTCTTGAAAAAACTCGGCCTCAAAACTAAACCACCTATTGGATTGGAAAACTACGACTTCTTGAAATCTATCTGGTAACAGGAAAAGATAACATCATTTCGCGATTTTCTACAGTGGCATAGCAACAAAGATATTGTTCCTACCCTTGATGCTATGCAGCAAATGATTGCCTTTTATCATGACAAAGGGATAAACATGTTAAAGCTCGGCTGCACACTACCGAATCTAGCCAATATATGTCTACACAAGTCATTCGACTATAAGTTTTACCCATTCTTTTCGAGTGATAGTGACTTGCTTGAAAAATTACGGGAAGATATGACCGGTGGTCCCTCAATTGTTTTCACAAGAAAAGCAGTAGCAAACAAAACATTTAGTCGAAAACCAAACAGTTTGTGTAAATTAATCGTTGGTATTGATGCTAGTCAACTCTGTCCTTATTCTATGTGTCGTTATATGCCCACAGGTTTATATACGAGATGGGACTACGATGAAGAAAGACAAAAACTCAAGGCAAGGCAAAATCGAGTTCATGGTCATGTCATACTTTCAAGCAACCAGACTTGAATGTAAAATTGAGAGTTACTACACTACAGGAAGACAGAAAAATTGATGGCTCTAGTAGTGATGTTTATTGCAACCATTGTAAGACTGTCTTGAAGCAATGGGTTGTTATTTCCATTTTTGCCCTTGTCAAGAAGCTAGACCGAGCCTAAATGATGATGATATCAATTGCGGAACCAACAAAATAGAAATGGATGAGCTTCGAAAAGATCACATTCGAGAAAAAGGATACTCTATAGAAGAAATGTGGGAGTGTAATTGGTGGGATCAATTTAAAAACCATGTAGACGTAAAAAAAAATTACATCAAAATTTCATTTCCACTTCAAAAGACTTCTTTCTGCCGATTCACTAGTGCAAAAAATTAGAAATGAAACAATTTTCGGCTACGTGCAATGCGATCTGAGTGTTCCAGTTGAGCTAAAAGCAAAACTTTTCGATTTCCCACCTATTTTCAAGAATATAGATGTGACTAGAAACGATATTGAGGAATATATGAAGACAAATGAGAAAGAAAACGATTTGTTAAATTAGTCGCAAAGAAAGTTGATATCGAGCTTCAAGTTGACCAACGGAACTTTTATCACATCACTTTTCATTTTTTTAGTTGGGTCCTGGACTACAGTGTACAAAAATTCATCTTTTTGTACAATACACTTCGCGTAGAGTATTCAACAGTTTTGTTCAGTCTGTTGTTCATGCTAAGCGAATCGGCGATGAAATTCCTTTGTCTGGCGTACTAGCCGAAACATTGAAACTTCTAGGAAACAGTTCCTACGGCTATCAGATAATGGACAAATCAAAACAAACAATGACAAAATATCTTTGAGACAAAAAAAACATAAAGCTAACAATAACCAATTCTTCAAGAGACTCATTGTCGTAGCTAAAGATTTGTACGAAGTGGAATTTGTGAAATCTACTATAGAGCATCGTGAACCAATTATAGTAGGATTCTTTAAACTACAGTATACCCATGTTGAGAATGTTGGAGCTGTATTATAACTTTTTTGATAAATTTTGCGATGTCAACAAATTCGAAGAAATCGAAATGGATACAGATCCCCTCTATTTGGCTCTGTCAGAAGAAGAATTAGATGAATGTATCCTTCCCAGCAAGCGAGCAGAATAGACTGAAAAGCAAAGCCAGGACTGTCGAGACGATTTCAGAGCAGATGCGGAAAAAAAAATGTTTTCCCCGTACTTGCTGTTCTAAACATAGAAAACATGACAAGAGAGAACCAAGATTGTTCAAAAAGGAGTTCAGATGCACCGAAATAGTATGCCAGTGTACTAAAACCTATTGCTGTTAAGATAGTAAAAGTCAAACGTATAGGTTTAGCAGTAAAGCAATGAACAAACGCGCTTTAGAAGAGTCTGGAGATGGCCCGACGGCAAAGTATCGTCAAGTATTGGATGAGGCAGTGAATTTGAAGTCAACAAATAGATGATTTAAAACGATTAACCATGCAGTCGCAACTTATGATCAAACTAAAAACGGACTGAGCTATTTTATTCTACACGGGAAAATGAATGTGATGGAATACATACTAAACCTCTAAATTTTTAATAGATTATGTAGTCAAATCGTATACGAAGCTGTGAATTAAAACATTTTCTCTGAAATTAACTTTTTTTTCAAAATTTCTTTTTAAACGCTACGTTATATTGTTTTTCGATTAAGAAAATTTTTAGAATCTGGAAAATCAACAAAATCGGACGCCAATTTTTTTTGAAACTTACAATTTTAAACCTTATCATTGTAATACATTGGGAAAGCTATTCCCTATCTTAATACATTGGGAAACCATTTTCTTATCTTAATGAGTTCTTAAAACCCTGCAATGTATTAATACATAAGGAAATCTATACACTATACATGGGAGATTCGCGCGCCGAAAAAACTTACCGTCTGAAACCTGGTAATTAGGAAACCTATTCCCTATCTTAATACATAGGAAATCGACAACCTATCTTTATATATAGGTTGGTGACCGGATGCTCTATTCCCTATCTTAATACATGGCGATCACCACCCCCCCCCCCCCGGATGATTTTGCCCCGACATTTACTACTAATTTTAGCGTTTTTGGGAGCAACGCTATACAGTTCTCTCATCAAAAATTTGCATTCTCTACTTGTCTCTTTAGTTTCTTGGTTAAACCAAAAATAGTTACAAAAAGAAATCGTTTTTGCTTATAAAATTTTCATGGAAAAAAGTTATTTGGTTGATGCAAGAAATTTTAGCGTTTCAATTTGAATCATTCAGCCTGAGTTCCTGTGGTCACAAGGCGCACACTTTTAGCCGATGCCTCGGGAGTCCATTTTGATCCCTTTTCTGACTCTTCAACGCCGTTATTGGTCATGATACTTGAGACCGGAAAGCCGAGGAGCGTGTTCGAAAACAAATCGGCCGAAATTTCTACCGGTAGTCGGGCAAATAAATCCGGGTCTTGTTCGATCGCTTTGAACTCTTTCATCTCAGAAACCGATCCCTCAGGGCTTATTCCGAGCAGAACAGAAATGAACTCGGCTAGGTCCGAATCGTTGAGCTGCTCGCCTCGGTTTTGAAGTATCTCTATGAACTCGTCGCGATCGATTATGTAATGGCCTTTTTGGTCCATGACTCCAAGATGCTCAAAAGATTCGGCAATTAGGTGCGGGTTCAGTCCAAAAGCTGGACGATGATTGACGTACAACTTTATGAAAGTGTTCAGGTCGATGTCAGTTACGTAATTTCCGGTCTCCACGTACTTTGAAAACTTAATTTCATTCAGCATGTCTTCGATTTCCTGTTCGGTTGGGTAAAATCCGAGAGCTCGCATTACAAATGGGATCTCGCTGATCGGAATAGTAACAGAGACATGTCGTTTTTTCATTGTGTTGACCCCTTGTGATCTGACCATTGCGTAATCGAAGTAGTCCTCGAGTTCTTTAAACAGATGACCTTCCCTTCCTCCCTGCATTAGGTCGTAGAAAGGGACTAGGTCTTCGCCGCCTAGCTTAGAACAGGCCTCAATAGCAGGAAAGTGAACCTGGAAAATGGAACAAAGTTAAAAAGTAATTCAACATATATGAAAATGCAATTCCTGAAAGTATAAAAGTGCAAATGTTTTCCCCCTATAATTAAAAAGAGAACATTTGCCTTGCTGGTGGGGAATTATCTGACGCTGAAATTGAAAACTGCCCGGTTAAAAGATCTCTCAAATTTGGCGGTCTATTGATGGAGGGGTGCATGAAACTTGCAGATTGAGGAATTGAAACAAAGTAACGGACGGACAAGACAGTCTCCTTTTAAGCGATTATCTTGCGTTTTTTTATCGTGAATTGGGAATCATTTATTTTGGAATGATGGGGACGAAAAATTTCGGGTAGTTGAAAAAAACCAATGTGATAAAATGGACTATTTTAGAATGGAAGGGTATAGTTTTCCTTATTTATTTCAATATAGTTTTATCAAGCTTTTATATTTCGTGCGCGTTGAAACAATTGAAAACTTCAATTTTTTCTGAAAGTTGTTCATTTACGTGCGTTGTTACAATTAAAAGTGCACATATCAATTGTTTGAAAACTTTTCGCAAGTTTTAGTTATTTGTATGTTTTGTGCATTCACATCTGATTTTAGCTTTATACCTTGGCTCCTTAAATGGGTCTTCGATATGCGGAAGCACCGCCAGTTTGGTCAGCGGCGTCCCGTAAGTCGGCCCGAGAACAGTTTTCCTACACATCTTGGTAGTCGAATTGAACAACTTCAGTTTAAACTGATCGTTCGCTGTAATCAAGAAATCCTCTTTCATAACCGGCGGATACCACGCGAGACTCAAAGGTACCCCGCTTTGCTCGATTTTATTAGTGCTGGCAATTCGGATGTCGTCTTCCGAACTGTTTTCAAGGTCGTACTCGACTAGCACTCTGTCTCTACCGATTGACATAAGTCGTGGAAACTCGCTTTCCAGTGCGACTCCGAACATGATTTCCGTGATCTCTTTGTAGTGCGCTCGGTTTTTGCCGAAGAAAACAAATGGCGCCGAACCTTCGCTAAACTGAGCTTTGTAGACAACCACGCATAAGTCTTTATCTGCAGTCACGAGATATTTAGAATTGTGCGAGAATTTGATATGGGTGATTGACTTTTGCGACATGGCAAAAGGTTGTTTGAGTTCATCAGCCAAGGTCAAAGAATCCATGACCCGAACATTTCCATCGTCAAACCCAAAGGCGATAAAAGTACCTGAGGGGTCATAGGTCAAACATGTCACTAATTGTTTGAATTTCAGCTTAAGATCACACACGACTTTTTTCTTCTCATAGTCCCAGACTTTGATATAACCTGCAAAACTTCCCATGCAAATGTGCGACCTTTTCGGATGCGCTGCCAGTGCGTAGATTGCTTCATCGTGCTCCTGTGAAATCATTACTAGTTCAGTCCCGTCATTTTGAACCTTTCCTACTTTGGCAGTTATGGTGCTGATGATGAAATCTTTAATGGGAAATTTATTCGCTTCAATTGTCGCATCTGTCGGCATTTTGTTGTTCCTGGCTACCGTGAACGGAAACCCTGGACAGTACGCGAACGACACTGAATTAATAGGGCCAATTCTGTCGAAGTCCTGATACCAATTGATCATTCTTAATTGGTTGTCGTAGAACTTAATGCACCCAGCAATATCACCAGTGACTACGTATTGGTCATGGGTTGTCAATACCGTTAAGGCTCGCTCTTGCAGCTTCACAAGTTTGAATGCTTTCAGTTTGTATAGTGCCGAAGGGGTGCTAGCAGCTTGTCGGTCCAGAGCCTTGTCAGGAGCCCAAACAACCATGTTGCCAGCGCTCGTTGCCGTGAACGTCCATTTACTTCCAGGAGCGTGAATAGATTGGCTGAAGGTACCGACAAATCTATTGAAGTCCTTATCGGTCACTTTAGGGTCATGGTAATTCAAGTTTTCAGCACCGTCCCAAAGGTAGAATACGACTTGATCTTGGCTGTTAGATACCAACTGAAATGGATTAGCTGGATTGAACTTGATGAACGTTTGAACATGAGTGTCATGGAGGCTCAGAGTGACACTTGCGGTGGCGCTGACACCACTACGAGATGTCCAATCCCAGATGCTGACAGATTGTGGAGTCGAAGAGCTGACACTAGCTATATACTTGGCATCATTAGTCATCGCAATTGCTGCGACACCTGTGTCATCGCCAGATCCGTCAGCACTCGGATGGGGATCAAAAATGGTCTGAACCGGGATGAAAGTGAAGGTATCCCAAATAATTATGGACGCGAACTTCCCAGAATCGGCAGTCACCAGCCAGCGTTTATCTTCGCTTGTATCCGTGCATGTAATTGCGTGACTGTGGCCTTGAAGTAATGTTTGAGTGTTTTCGTTGAAGTCGTACAAAACAGCAATATTCGAACACGTGTACAAAACCGAATCACGGCCAGGATCATCCGCGTTTAGTTTGTACAGCATGTTTAGAGCTGGGCAATATTTGTTCACCCCGAAGCACCAGTCGAGATTCAAGCAATGATTTAACTGTTTGGCAGTCGGCTTTGAGTTTGCCGACGATCCCCTCTTTTTCTCCGGCTGCTCTTTTTTAACCCGACCTGCCGGTGGAGGCTCAGTAGAAGGACCATCTGTTGTTGTGGACAAATGAGCGTCTGATGAATGACCACCTGCGCGACTTGTTGGCTGGGAGGTTTTCTGACCCTCGCCTTCTGTTCCCATTGTTCCCTCGTTCTGAACAGTCTCTTGCTCTGTTCGCATTTCAGGAAGTTCTTGCGCGTTTGGTCCAACAGGTGCGACGATTGTATCATCCGGTTTTATTTTCCCTTCTGTTTCCACGTCTTGTCCTCCTTCTGGAATCGTTTCAGTTCCCGGTTTCTGGAACTCGGGCACTCTGTCAGATGGAATTTGATCTGTTATGTACTCATCTTCAATATTGTTAGAATCTGCTTCGCCTAGCATCTTGTTAGCCATGCTTTCTCTATCATTGTCTAAGTTTTCTTCTCCCTCTTGACTACTTGCGTCATCTTCCTCGTCGTGAACTTTTGCTACTGTTTCAGCATTTTCATCTCCAGGAGTTTTAGCAGGAATTTCTTCGTTTACTTTGTTGTCTTCGGGCTCTTTCACCTCCTCGACTGTCTCATCGGCCCCAGCATCGTCTTCCGCCTTTTCTTTCGGTGGTTCGTCTTGACCATCTTCTTCAATTTTGTCTCCAGAGTTCTCTTTATTATCTGTTCCCTCCCCCTCCTTGCCCGGCTGAATCTTAAAAAAAATATTGATTTGATGACAGTCCACTTATGTGCATAATTCAACTTAAGTCTATCAGAGCGACCCAAGCCAAAGTTTCGCCTAGTTTCAAAATAGTGCAGGTTTTGGTAAACTAGTGCATCACCTTTAAAAAAAATACCAAGGGTATAGCCGGTTGCTGTGTAAAAAGTTCGTAATTTTGCGAACTGAGAAATCCTCCCAGAAACGAAACGAAGAGTTTTTAAAAACTGTTGTATTCCAATATCTTTTATGGAGGGACTGAATGAGATTATTTTGAAGGAGGAATTCTAGTTAGTGTTCCTGACTATTAACCTGATGAGTTACTTATCGTGTGATTTTTTTTCATGCTTTTTCCACTATCATAATCTTCGCCCCTAGTCATAATCTATCTGAAAAGCAAAACCATTTTTGTTGGAAGAAAATGTTTCCTGGAATTTTATTTTACAAGCAAAGTTATAACCAGAAAGGGCGTAATGATAAATACTCCATCACTACTCTTGTCTTTCTCATAAATCTTTAAAAATGAGCCCAAAAAATTTCAATCGAGGCCATAGTATGTGAAGTGGTAGATTTAATAAAGAAATAAAGTGCTAGATGATTTCATATTTATGCATGCTCTTCACACTGGCGCGCTCATCATTATGCTCGTTTACTTGTACAAAATTTTGAGCGTTTCATCAGATAAAATAAGTTTAACTTATAAGCAAGCGCTTAAAAGGAACCCAGGCTCAAAATTTCGAAAATACTGCGCAACATCGAAACAACTACTCAAACTCGAAATAGAATTAAAACTTTTATTGAATCAAATCATTTGGAAAAAAACATCCGATTTTTTGATGTCGTATATTGTCAGATAGTCGACAGTGTCCGCATGAAAATCATCAAAAAACCAGCAATCAATCAGCACTGGTGCAAAAGTTTGCGAAAAGTATGAAATGCGTTCTCGGATTAGCTATTTTTGAAAGTAACGGAATATTTGTGCTCGGGGACAAATTTCGCCTTAATAATTAGTCATTTTTGTCGGAATTTCTTTATATCATTCAAGAGTTATTGTTGTCCTGAGTTTAGACTTCAAAAGATATTTCACCTGTAATCCTGTTTCATAAAGTTACGAGAGTTTGAATTTTGCAATTTTGGATAATTTGGGACTATTAAAGCGCGATATAATTTGCGCTATGAACGCGTTAACGGAGATTTAATTCGTCTCAGAAATTGTTCCAAATTGGTTAAAAGAAGCTTATTCGCCATAATTGATTTGTTACTAGGAGCAAAATCTTCCATTTTTTACTTTAAATGGCGTGACGGCGTTGAGTTTCACAAGAAATCTCAACAAAAATTTTTTTTATTACATTTATTTTGTTCAGGTTTTTACTGCCCCATAGACCTTAAAAGGCAGTGGGAACAATCAGGGCTTTGCCCTGATACGACCAGTCTTGTTTTCTATTTAACCTGCAACTGTTAAGCAAAATTGAGACTCAATTCGGCTAAATAACAATTTTTAAAAGCAGCATGCGATCCTCGTTAATTTGGTCATTGCTTGTAGACTAAACTGGGTACGCGACAGCTAAGTCAAAAAGTAAAATATATTTTTCAAAGTAGATGTTTTGTAATTTACGCAAGCGTTATTGGCTAAATAAAAGAGCGCCGAAGTACAGGAGTGCCAAAAAATCTTGCCAAAGGGAATTGAAAAAAAGTGCTAACGTTTGAGCCGGGATATGTTGACACTTTCAATTTTAAAAAACGAAAGAAAAAAGAGCAATAACTTCAACGCCATACTGAAAAATTTCAAGCCTATCTAATGTATCAAAAAAACACAGGTGATTTTTGCTTAATTTTAAAACTTAGTATATCAATGTTTTTGAGATAGTATGGGAAAAATTTTGTCACAAGCACAAAAAACAACTAACCGCTCTTTTTCTTCAAAAGTCGGAACAACACACAAATCTTTTTCGAAAATGAACAAAAATTTTAAATGATTTGAAACGAATAAAGAAAAATGCTTGCTCAAGAAAGTGAAAAGTTTGATAAAAAACTTCAGGGCGTACAGCTCTATAAAAACAATGAAAATATACGCAGCAATTTTGAGTGATGCGAGCAGTTTAATTTTGTATTCGAACCTGAAAATCTTCTTTTTGTTACAAATTTTGTAATGAAAGCAACCGAATATTTGGGCTCGGTGTGATTTGTTTCTTCAAACAAATTTTGACATTATAACTAGCCCTTTTTAACTCCAATTTCTTAATCTCAATTTTCGACAATTTTGGTCATTTCTTAATCAGATCGTTTTAACTAGCCATCTTTGACGATTTCCTAATCTTAATTTTTGACGAGTTTGTTCATTTCTTAATCAGACCATTTCTATATTTTGACTGGATTTAATCTATGTTTTGGAAGTGTTTGACTTATGTTTGACTCGTCCGTTTATTGGCTTTGGCAGCGCTCGCGATATGTTTCGACTGTGCTTGACCTATCTTTTGGTTTTGTTCGACGTGCTCGATTGTGCATCGACAGTGATCGACCGTTGTTTTAACTGTGCGCAATCTACATTTTGATGGTTATCGACCTGTTCTTTGGCATATTAAGCTCGTCTATGAGATGGTCAAAACATGCCAATTTTTGGTCGAGCCAGTCGAAATATTCAGATTTTTGGACGAGACGGTCGAAACAAAGTGAGCACCTAGACCCGGGTATTTTGCGTTCAGCTAAAGCATTTTTATCCTGCAAGTTTCTCCAATTTTAGATGGCCTTTTCGGAAAAAATTCGGACAGACAGATTTAAATAAAATGAACAATCAGTGCGTTTCGACGCTTTTTTGCATGCACAATCTGGAGCCGAACAACCTTGAATTTTTGTCAGACCAAATTCAAAATGCGAGATCGTCGATTATCTGATGATTAAGCTAGCCTAATTTTTAAATACTGCTATGAACATCCAGATTTTACTATAAAACATTTCGACGCTTCCGTTGCAATCGCCCTCCATGGTTATAGGTTTTGCGCGAAACTCGGATCAACTTAACAATCCCCCTCCCCCTATTGTAACTACTAAAGAAACTCCACCCCTGTTAATAAAAATGGTAAGTTCGCACAAGAGCATTGTATGTATATTCGGATTTTGCTGCATTCTGATTGGTCGAAATTTTGCTGCAAGTAATCTTTTTAACGTTCTCCTCCCCTTTTTTGAAAGGGGGATTGTTAAGTAGATTCCGTAACTCTGCTTTATGTACTTTCGACGTTATGTTTATTTCAGTTTTATTTTTCATTGATATCTAGACAGTTGCTCTTTTTAATTAATTCTGTACGTCCGAACTTTTTGAACTCTCTCTAGTACGATAGTTGTTAAACCGGGTCTAAGAAAACATGCCGACGGGACTTCCGAAATTTAAACTTTTAAGCACCTCAGAGCACTATTTTTTTTTAACCTGTAAAATGTTGCTTTTCAAAAATTTATAGTCATGTTTAGTCCATAATAAGCGTTATTCATGACAATGCGCCACTTCTGATTGTTTTTGAAATGCATAAATTATAAACATGAAAAATGCCTTCAACCATGTTTTACTTTTCAACTTTCCGAAACATCATTTGGAGGCTTAAATTTTCTGAAAACGCCTATAACTAGTAAAGAAAGATCATGAAATTCAGAATTTTTTCAAAAAAGTTTTCAAATTAATCATATTTCACGACTTTATAAGCAACTATTCGGCTTGAAGTCCCTAATTTTACGATTCGGCTTGAAGTCCCGTCGGCTTGATGTCCGGCACCCGTTAAGACAGCAACCACTTTTGGTGCGATTTAAAGACGACGCGACAAACAAATTCTCCAATACTTTTTCTGAGAAATAGAACTCGACTAAATTCGAACAGTTCAATTTACATGTTTTAACTCTAATAGGTCGTTTTAATGTCTTGTAGTCTTAATGTCTTATCATTTTATTGGTGGCGTCCCTCAGGCTTGAAGGACCGAATGCTTAAAATTAATTTTGACTTACTTTCAGCCAATCAGAATTGAGTATTCAAAATCTCAAAGTAAATCACGAAAATTTCAAAGTAAGAAAATAAATACAGGTCGTTAGTGTTATTATTGACCGATTAGATAACAAGCAGATAAGTTTTCAAGACTGAAAAATTCTTATAATTTTGAAATCATTAGATCTTGAAAATGATGAGAGAATCGTGAAAATTATCTGACAGGAATGCAGTTGTAACCCGCAATTTGTAATATTTTCAATTATTTTCCACTGATTTAATACATTTTCTGTTAATTTTGACTTCGGTTTTGTGAGAAAGGCAGTTAGCCAATAGAAACGCTTAGCGATTTTGATTGGGTGAAATTTTCAAGCATTCGGTCCTTCAAGCATGAGAACCATCTCCGTTTTTTTTATCTAACACCCCTTTAGACATATTTTCGGCCTAAGAAATAAACGTATACATGCAAAAATTTCCTGATATAGTTCAGTTGCTCTATTACTTAATTTTGCTTGTTCCAACATTTGTTTGTTCCTCCTGTTACTGCGGAATTAGCTTTGTTTCCTCTTGCTACGATGTTTAAAGGCTTCCTGGAAGTTTAGAATTGACAATAATTAGATTTGGTTACGTTGCTTAAAGCTTACCTTGGAACCATGTGTAGGCCTTCTGTTGGCGGTCCCGTAAATGATCAGCAAAATGTTTGGTCTAGCTAAGTGCACAAAAAAACCCATTATGTTTAGGGTTTTTCGGCAAAATGCGTCTGTTTACTGTGTGCAAACAAATTACCCGACAATAATTGCATATGTTGAATTTCAGTTTGACTGTAAGTTTCGACTTTCAATTTGTCATTCAAAGTTTTTGTTTATTTTGACTGTTTTTAAATTTTTTTGGCGACTTATTTTTCGACCATGTCGCGAGTAACTTTTTGACCATGTCCCCGACTAATTTTTCGACCAGACCGCGACAAATTTTTGGACCATCGCGACCGAGATCGCTATTGCCAGACTCAGTCCGCAACTATAATTTTTCGAACGTCGCGATCGAGATACGGTGTTTCCATAGTTTGTCCGTGGCTTAAAACCCTGTTCAGACTATGGATTTTGGGTCACGGAATTAAAATTGGCGCGACCGATAAAGTCAAAAAGATAGTCGCGAACATTGACCCTATTACACATGTTTGAACATTATTACGCTAGCAAAACTATATACGTCGGACAAAACGCTTGCTAGGAATAAAGGGTCCTTTCTACTTTCTATCTTAGAAAGTAAATCTAAAATTCGCTGAGAAATATTTTATTAGAAAAGAAGTTAGTATGAATTTACAGCAAGTTGCCTTTTGACTCAATATCAATTTTAACGGTGAGATTAGAGATATTTTTACTGAGAGTAGATATTATTTTAGTGATTGGTTGGAGTGGCTGAGGAGAGTGGTGTTGGTGTTAGAAGAGAAACTGTTGGGAATGAATTCCCGTAGTTTTGAGCTTCTATTTATACTCAGATGGGAAATCGTACCACTTTTCGTATCAAATGAGAAGTTACTTCTTAACTTCGTATTCTCTATTCGTACATTCGTATTTTACGAGAAAAAGGTTTCGTATGCTCGTATTTTACGAGAGGAATCGTTGATATTCGCATTGAATGAGAATAGTCGTTTCAATTCTCAATGCTTAAAACGTTATACGAATTATTCCAATAGCATTTCCCTTCCTTTTGCAAGGGAAAAAAACATATTTCTTTTGTGGTGGCGGCGGCGTCACAATTTGTGAACGCAATAAAATAATTCATGTTTTTGTTTCTATTTGAAATCAGAACATATCCATCCTCCTATTTGGAGAGGAAAAAAACTGAAACTTTCATTTTTATTACTTTCACTTGAATAGTGGGGTAATTGTTGATCGATCGAAGCTTTTTCTTTCAATCTCATAAAGTTGGTTCAATAGTTTGTTGGTATTACAGGTAGCAGATGTTTTTGGAAGCTTCGTATTCTCTATTCGTACATTCGTATTTTACGAGAAGAAGGTTTCGTATGCTCGTATTTTACGAGAGGAATCGTTAATATTCGCATTGAATGAGAATAGTCGTTTCAATTCTCAATGCTTAAAACGTTATACGAATTATTTCAATAGCATTTCCCTTCCTTTTGCAAGGGAAAAAAACATATTTCTTTTGTGGTGGCGGCGGCGTCACAATTTGTGAACGCAATAAAATAATTCATGTTTTTGTTTCTATTTGAAATCAGAACATATCCATCCTCCTATTTGGAGAGGAAAAAACTGAAACTTTCATTTTTGTTACTTTCACTTGAATAGTGGGGTAATTGTTGATCGATCGAAGCTTTTTCTTTCAATATCATAAAGTTGGTTCAATATTTTGTTGGTATTACAGGTAGCAGATGTTTTTGAACAACTGATACTTTGAGTCAGGCTTGAATGAATATAAATACATCAGTTACATTTATAAATCAAAATAGAGTTTACACAACCAAAGGATTTAACTATAAAATTAAATACATCAAAATTATTTGTTTCTCAAAAGTTTGCAGGTTAGTTTAATAATATCATTCCTTGAAAATTCTTTTTCCGAAGTCTCCTTTTGTCCTGAAGTATGTGAAGTGGATGTCCATACGCGTAATAAGGGGAGGACTGGTTCATACAAAGGGGGTATTTTTTTTTATAAAAGTCAAAATTGTTGAGAAAGGAAAAAATTAATAGCTATACTACATAGCTATATAAAACGAAAGAATAAATGTTTAAATGAAAGGATAAAATTTTTACAATTTTCCTTCCAACCGGGCTATAAGTTGGTGATTTTTTGTTTTCAAATTGTGGATTTGCTTTTTCAGCTCCCGGATTTGATGCGTTTCATGGATATGACTGCGCTGAATTTGTTCAGTATAGTCATCTAACTGGAGGGTTTGTAATTTTGCTGTCAGATATTTTGCTGGGACATAGATTTTTTGATAATCAAAAAGGGAATTAGTTATGGAGTACATTTTTTTTATAGGGTGATAGGCTTCTAATTTAAAACGATTGATTAATGGATTCAAAGCACAATTGAGATCCATATCGAAGCCGGTATTGCTGTTAGAATTAATGTATCGTTCCCTTTCTAACTGAATATGTATTTTAGTATTTAATTCAGTGGGGTGTAAGGGCTGTCGCCTAATGGTCATTGGATATTGAGAAGTTGATACCGGCGTATTTGCCGTTAGTATCTTATATGGTCTTACAATCTGGGTCCGTTTTTTAATTTTGGAATTCGAGGGAACCAGGGGTATTTTGAAATCAGGGGGTGAAATTTTTAGGGGTGGTGGCTTTGATGCTGTAGTTATTGGGACAGCTGAATTGGTTTGAAGTAGTGCCTCAACGAAGGATCGTGTTGAGGTTGGCTTTGCAGTGGGTGTTGTAGTAGTAGAAACAGTTGGTTGTTTAGTGAGTGCTGAAATCTGCGAGTCCAGTGGATCAGTTGGTGGCAGGAGTGAGAGAAGGTCCTCAAAATCTCTCAAGTCGTCATCAAGTGATGCGTCCATAATTGAATCAGTTGGTATATCCTAGAACAGTAGAATTTTTTTTATTAGACTGTGTTTTTTGGGTGATCCAAGTTTTGAGTTCTTCTCTCAAAACTTGTTAATTGGATGTGAGGATACATGCGATCCTGGTTTATTTTATCAATTTCCTCTTAAAGAGGAGCTTGCATTTTTTGATCACATTCTTGTTCTATTTTTTCAGTTTGCTCATCTTGAGTGAAAATTGAGGTCACTATGGAAGTGAAAAGTATATTATATGAAGCGGCAAATAATACTTTGCCAAAGTGTAGTGAGTGGCCGGTGATTTTGTGAATATGCATAGCCTTTATTATGAATACTAGGCAATCTAGTATGAATTTCATAAATAGAAAAGAGGTGAAGACTATTCCGCATTTTTCTAAATAGAATTGTACTTTACCGAATATACGGGTGTATTCGTTTTTCCAAAAGTTTGGAGAGATGAGATAGTCCAAATAGATTGTTTGAGAAAAGCTTAGTGGGCTATATGAGTCCGTGAAAAGAAATTTTTTAGCATTTAGAAAGGACCTGGATACTTTTTGCACTATTCCTTTCATCTCTGAATTATCGGAAATCATATTCCAGAATTTTGGCATTTGAGCATAAGTGTAGATTGAAGCGCCTTGGCTAGAGGCTAAAAAATGCTTAATCTTTTGAATTATTTCTTTTGGTTTAAATAGATATGTTCCTGTAACCCTTGTAATTTGAGGGGTTAATTCAATCCAGGAAATATCATCATCAACATCTAGTTGAAAGAGATTTGAATGTTTGTCAGAGCATTCTTGTAGATCTGCCGACTGAAACGTTTGTCGCGTAATTGGATCAACAAATCGAACATTTTCCTTATACATAATGGGAATGCGATTATAGCATTCATCCATTAATTGCAAAGGTGAATAGAATTTCGGACAATGGTAGAGCCAGGCAACATTGCCATTGGTCTCTAAGAACATAGAGCGGTTCTGAGTTAAAATATAGCCAGCCAAACGTGGGCTTTCAAGTGAAAGCATTAAAGTATTCAATATTGAGGAGCGTTCTAGCTCACATTGATTTTGCAGAAGGGCTAACTCGGCCGTTCTGAGCATGTAGAAGCTATAAAAAAGGTTATAGTCCAATTTGGTTCCTATATGAGCTTCGTAGTCAATTTGATGAGTTGAAAATTTGAGTGGTGGCAAATCATCACTTGTTGTGAGAAAAGTAGAATTTGGTTGGCCGGCATTATGAATAGTTCCCGTTTCTGGGGTTGGCTTAACTTGGATTCCAGTATCCATATTGAAACCGTCAGTGTATGCAATAAAAAGTGAATCATATGCAGTTGGATACACTAGTCTGGGATGACCACAAAGAGATTGCGGTTTATTCATCACCTCTAGCATAAATTTTTGAGAATCACTTGTATGGGTAGAATGAATAGACGGGCTAGAATCGCCTTTAATTATATAGTATGATTCTTCGTTTTGAATCATTTTAGCCGGAAATCTGTTTAAAACAGTGAAAACGCAATTGTTGGGTTCTTCCCAAGTATAAGCAAAAGCGTCTAAGGATGTTGTTTCACATCCATTTGTAGACACTGGACAGGGCAAAGGAATGTTTTGCCAATTATTGACTGTTCCATCTTTGAGGTTAACAGTCAGAGTTACATTTTGCATGTAAGTTTCAAAAGTGTCCAATTTAATCCAAGAACGGCCATCACATTCGTTATGATGTTTGCCAGCATGGGCATTAGTTATTGTTTTAACATTAAATTTGAAAGGAATATTTCCAATACTAGCATAGCCTAGGTTAAGATAGCCTCTGTCGGCGGCCGATTTACATTGATCGGCAGATAAATGGAGATCAGTAGTGATCATATTTTGTCGAGCGTCGATACCATTCGAATCAAAAGAATCGCAGAACCAACGCCTTGATTGGTGTTTGATTCGACACATTGTCGCATTTACTTTTGTGCGATAATGTCTCTGATATAGAGTAACATAAGCGGGTTACTTTAATATTTTCTGGTTGGACTTTGCAAGGTGCTACTTTATTTAGAGAGAACATTTTGTTAGAAGTCATTAGTTGACAATCAAAATGAGCAACCCGATGATTATTTGCAGTATTTGTTTATAATTGTTCTTTCGGATCAAATGCTGAGGTTTGATTCGAAAGTATTATTAGAGTTAAAAGACCAACCAAATAAATTTTTTGCAAATTTATTTTTTGGTGTTGAATGATAGCAAAAGAATTTTTAAAAGTACTCACTTTAAGCATTTCCTCGAGAGTGGTTAGAACAAGATCTTAGTCCATTAGTTCACCTTCCTCTAGTTCACTATTTGGATTTGTCATTTTGTGGATTTTTTGTGATGGGAAATCTGAGTTAGATTTCAATTTTTGTTGAGGAATTCAGCAGATTTATTTTTGGAGAGAGAGGAGGTTTTGAATGCAAGATGTGGAATTGAGCAAGAATGAAAACAACTGTATATCAGTTAGTTTTTAAAGGCTGTTTTTGGTTCTAAGCTCTGATTGGCCGTTGTTATTCGGCGTCTTTCGGAAGTGACTCTTTTTAGGTCGTAACTCCTTCGCCATTCGTTTTGTAATGTTGTGGTTTTTTTCACTCTGGTTTAATGTCGTGGTTTTTCCACTTAGTTTTGATTTGTTGAGATTTAGCAGTGAAATGATTTTTATTCGTTTATGCTGATGTTAAATTTTAACAACTGCATTTCCCTTCCCTATTGGAGGAGGAAAATGAAAAAAAAAACATCTCTTCATAAAAGAGGACTAAAAGCAACATTATTTGTTTGCTTTCCGTTCAGTTTTAACTATCTGTATTTTATCCTCAAAAAAAATTTTTCTTCGTCCAGAAAGAATTTTATCGATCCTGAAGATAATCTGGTGGACTTCCCGGAGAAGTTTTTGAACTTACGGGATGAGCTAAATTTCAAACATGAAGCCTTGCTGGAGGACAAGGAAGTCGAGAGAAGGGTGGCAATCTACGACGGGATAGTAGAGAAAGGGGCAAACTTAACGCGTATGGAATTTATGATATTTATGGAACGGAGTTATATCTTTAATTATCCGGTACTGAATGCCGAGGAATTATTTGAGCTGGGCTCCTTTCAGAGTAGGTTCCTCGCCAAGAAACTATGGAGCCCATGGAGTGGAGTCAATGCGGTTTCACAAGAAACAATGGACTTTTTGTCCTTATTCTTTGGAGAGGATGTAAGTTTGTTTTACAATACACCCAATTTTTAAAAAATATATATAAAAAAATTTTTTTTATTCAAGTGGCATGGCAACATAGAAATCGTCGTATATAAATTTGTTTTAGTTTCAAGAAGAATTATTGACGATAAATATTTAAAAAATTGTAGAAAAACCACACACTTTGAATTTTCGTTCTCGAAATAATCATCTTTTTAGCCCACGGTGAGTCGCCAAGTTGGATCTCTCAACTGTTCTTTTTCCTATCCATCTAATCTCCAACGCCACGATTCTCTCATATCAGCTTCAGCTCCTGCCTCTTCACCTACACAGTTTTTCTTCTAGCTCACCACGCATGGACTCACCACATGATTTTTCGCAACCACCAGCTCAACCCATAACTCCCCATACACATGTTGACTCTACATCCGCTTCCTAGCACACTGAAGCTACTCCAATCTTTCCCCTCTTTCAAGAAATGCGCCCGATGTACCTTGCCTTATCACAGACCCCCAGTTAGAACATGATTTATTCGGTTTTATTACTCACCAACAGCAAATTCACAACGGCACTATTTCGGTAACTACTCATCAGCTAACTCACTCTTTTCAGCCTCTGAATCATCCATCCCCGCTGTCGATATAGCCACTACACGCGCACAGAGAAACTTTATTAAACGAAGACACTCAAATGGAACACCACAATTCTATTTTAACTGCCCATCATCAGCACAACTTCTCCACTATCACCCACAACAAATTAATGCGCCGGATTTTTAATTGAAAGCCTTCCTTTTTTCCCTCGATATACTTACTACAATGGAGAAAGCCATCCCAACAAGCCCAATATGTAAATGAACACTTTCCCTAAACTTTACTGAACTTCCTATTATAACTTCACTGACCCACTAAAAGTACCAGTAAGGAAAAACGCCGATGATGATGAGCTTTGCAATTCAACTATTCACCAACTAACTAACACACTTAACCTGAATTAATTCAGAACCGCAGGCTTAAATCAAAAACTCAACCGATTCATTGCACAAAAAGCTTATCGACTCTTTATGAACCGTTATGGTCACACTGTCATCCAAAATATGGAAGATTCATCATACGACACTGACCCTAACATCAACTCACATTATAGTGAAAAAATTCTTACCAAATCAGAATAAAATTTCCACCGCGACAACACAAACAAGAAATTCGATCACATCATCGACTGCGCACTAACAAACACTAAAGTTAATGAACCATTCTTCAACAAAATCGATCATTTTGCACTGACACTTAACTTTCTCACACGAAAAGAAAAGGAGCTAGTAACTGCTCACATGAAGTTATGTTGAAACCTAAACTGACCCACACTTACACTTATTAAAAATTCATCCAACGACACTACCTTCACAATTCACCATCTTGCAATTACCACCATCGCTTAATGTTCATTAATTCTTAATACACATCATCCTATTTCAAAAATTTCACATATTGTATAAAGTCCATTAACCTACATAACATCCTCCGTAACTATGACCCTGTAAAACAAATGTATATCTTTTGTCCCCTTACTAAAAACTTCCCACTTGAAGGCTCCCGCCGCTTCCTCATCCCGCACAAGTACATAAAACTAATCGAAAATTGCACTACTAGAAAACATACACAACATAAAATTCAACCATAAACTCTATAACCCCATGAAAGTTTCCAACCACGAGTTTTCAGCTGTCACAGAAGAAGTCAAAATCATCTGGGCGCTTGAATTTTTTTGGCCACTGCTTCGCACTAAAAACGTAACCCACATATTTGCTAAGCTTTTAATAACTTCCGACACCTTTAAGACTAACTTGCTTTATGGATTTTACCCCGATCCAGGTTCCTGGTAAATATGAACTTTTAATATCGCTTATTTCAATAAATAAATCACTCTTCATTTTTACAGATCTGTTTTAACTTTTCGATTAGGATCTCACCAGTTATTCATCTAAAAGAATAAAATGAAAAGAGAAATCAGACTCTAGTTAAACTTTCATTTTTAACCTACCTATGTATCAGAAATTGTATCAGAGAATTAAACATTTTAAAAGAGCAACAAATTGATGAAAATTCGTAAAAATCAAATATGAAGCAGTAAATGAAAAATGACAAGGAAATTAATCAAAACTTACCTTTTTCTGTCTGCTTCTTTTATAAAAATTGAATATTTGTAATTCACTTGCCCATATTTGACGCACTGTTTCCAAACAAAGTGAGTCACTAGCCTACGTAGAAAGGTTTAATAAAAAAATTTCAAGTTTTGGAAATTAACTGATAAAAAGTTCAACTTGTTTTCACGGGTTTGAAAACTTCTCTTCACCCGACTGGAAGGAATTATACATAAGCTTAAGCTAACTAACGCAGCTTATTATTGCCACAAAACCAACCGCATAATTGAGAAAACTTTATTGAACCATCCCAGATTGAACCCGGATAAAACCTGGATAAATTATTCGTTTGAACCTCGAATGAACGTTTTTTAAAACCAATTGAAACACAAAATTACTAAAATAACCACAAAAAAAAACAAAACACTTTGTTTATAAAAAGAAAACAACCAAGGAGCAAAAGAGAAAAACACTTGATAAAAAAGAACAAAAATTTGAACACGAAAAGAGACCCTGCTCAACGAGACCGTTACAATTATACTTCTCTGGTCTCGCCCACTAGAATGGCGTCGCTCGCAGTTTATGTCCACACATGCCAAGATGCCGACCCTCAACTTACAAATAAATTTTGTAAAACGTCTTTTTGAGCACAAGAAACGAGCAGCAAAAGGACCAACTCAATGTGGAACTCAATACGAATCCTAGTGTCTTGGCGCTTCACACAGAGAAGTCAAGGCCTATCTCGCTATTCGATGAATAGTTGAAATTGCACGTAGTCTCGCTCTACTTAATGATACCGATACACCATTGTATGAACTCTGCAAACTTGACCAGATGTCTCAATTCAATTACGATACCCGAAACCCAGTTAAGACATGTGAGCAACTGTACTTCTTCTCTCTCCATGCAGACAACTACTCCACATCACGAGCAACTATTTTTTTCTCTTCATTCACGCAACCACTGCTTCAACAAATTTACTCCCAAGAATCAAGAAACTACTCCATCCAGCCTTCACAAAGAACATACTTGAAAATTAAAAAAATCTCTAAACGCCGCATGGGTGAAACCAGTTTAAAACTAGTATTGATATTCAATTATATTATTGATAAAACTATCTCCTGAGACAAAATCCATAAGACTAAATCTGGTGAGACTTGGGAGATATAAGAGTAAGAGTAATATTGGTATAAGACTAAGAAGTTGCGCGAATCTATAAGGCCGAAAATAAGATACCGTGACGAACAGACTTTGTACCTTATCTGAATTTACTCTATGAGTGAGCCACCCCGGACATAAACTCACCTCCTTCCCTCGAGAAAAAGTTGAAATTAGCTCATGATGTCGCAGATCTTTTCACCGGATTCCACAAGAGGCAATATGGCGACCGTTCAGCCAGTTTTAGCAATGCAGTTATAACTCTGAACTAGAGTTAATCTTCATATGAAAGTCAACTTTCATATGAAAGTATGAAATCTTGTCTCTTCGAAATTTTAATTGAGTCATATGAGAAAAGAAACCGTAGATTTGAAATTGGACAGCAAACTTGATCATCAAGCAATGAACTTTATGGCGTGCTATATCTCATACGGTTTTACGTGATTACGCCGATACTTCAGAAAAAAATCAAAGGAAAATTTTCATTTTTTAATGAAAAACAGATTTGAAGAAAAGAATCTATTAGATTTATGGAAATATTTTTAGCAATTCAATTTGAATCATTCTGCTTGAGTTCCCGTAGTCACAAGACGCACACTTTTAGCCGATGCCTGGGGAGTCAATTTTGATCCCTTATCAGACTCTTCAACGCTGGTATTGGTCATGATACTTGAGACCGGAAAGCCGAGAAGTGTGGTCGAAAACAAATCGGCCGAAATCTCTACCGGTAGTCGGTCAAGTAAATCCGGGTCTTGTTCGATCGCTTTGAACTCTTTGATCTCAGAAACCGATCCTTCAGGGCTTATTCCGAGCAGAACAGAAATGAGCTCGGCTAGCTCCGAATCGTTGAGCTGCTCGCCTCGGTTTTGAAGTATCTCTATGAAGTCGTCGCGATCGATTATGTAATGGCCTTTTTGGTCCATGACTCCGAGATGCTCAAAAGATTCGGCAATTAGGTGCGGGTTCAGTCCAAAAGCTGGACGATGATTGACGTACAACTTTATGAAAGTGTTCAGGTCGATGTCAGTTACGTAATTTCCGGTCTCCACGTACTTTGAAAACTTAATTTCATTCAGCATGTCTTCGATTTCCTGTTCGGTTGGGTAAAATCCGAGAGCTCGCATTACAAATGGGATCTCGCTGATCGGAATAGTAACGGAGACATGTCGTTTTTTCATCGTGTTGACCCCTTGTGACCTGACCATTGCGTAATAGAAGTAGTCCTCGAGTTCTTTAAACAGTTGACCTTCCCTTCCTCCCTGCATTAGGTCGTAGAAAGGGACTAGGTCTTCGCCGCCTAGCTTAGAACAGGCCTCAATAGCAGGAAAGTGAACCTGGAAAATGGAACAAAGTGAAAAGATAATCCAACATTTATGAAAATGCAATTTCTGAAAGTATAAAAGTGCAAATGTGTTACCCCTATAATTAAAAAGAGAACATTTGCCTTGCTGGTGGGGAATTATCTGACGCTGAAACTGAAAACTGCCGGGTTAAAAGATCTCTCAAATTTGGCGGTCTATTGAGGGAGGGGTACATGAAACTTGCAGATTGAGGAATTGAAACAAAGTAACGGACGGACAAGACAGTCTCCTTTTAAGCGATTATCTTGCGTTTTTTATCGTGAATTGGGAATCATTTATTTTGGAATGATGGGGACGAAAAATTTCGGGTAGTTGAAAAAAACCAATGTGATAAAATGGACTATTTTAGAATGGAAGGGTATAGTTTTCCTTATTTATTTCAATATAGTTTTATCAAGCTTTTATATTTCGTACTGTAACTAACCTTCTCACAATTGAATATCAAATAAGGTGGTGAAAGAAATACACATCCTAGCAAAATTTTTGAGCATAGGATATTATTAAATGTGGCTAAGATTACCTATTCTTGCATTAGTATCAAAAATTACAAGGTATGCTTGTATATCACAGAAAAAGACTTGATAAAAGAAACCCCCCTCCCCACTATCCCACTACCCCATCCTTGCCTCAGTACCTGCCACATCTGGACCGTGCAGTCCACTCCGCCTGCAGTGAATATAAATTTGGAGTCGTGGCTGCAGCAGATGTCTGCTATGCCCTGAGGGTGGGCTACTGTCACCATAGCATCATGTGGGTTCCCATTCACTGGCAGTTTGTGCAGGCCTATTCTGTCCTTGGTGGCGAACGCAATGTACCTATAAAAGTAATTAAAAAAACTTAATAAATGCTCAAAACAAAAACATTTTCCAAATATTGGCTAAAAATAATTGTTTCTACAAGAATATTAGGAATTTTGAAGCTTGCGCATAATATACAGAAAGTACAAATATGCGTTGCGTTCAGAACAACTTTTTGTTGAAACAATTGAAAACTTCAATTTTTTCTGAAAGTTGTTCATTTACGTGCGTTGTTACAATTAAAAGTGTGCATATCAATTGTTTGAAAACTTTTCGCAAGTTTTAGTTATTTGCATGTTTTGTGCATTCACATCTGATTTTAGCTTTATACCTTGGCTCCTTAAATGGGTCTTCGATATGCGGAAGCACCGCCAGTTTGGTCAGCGGCGTCCCGTAAGTCGGCCCGAGAACAGTTTTCCTACACATCTTGGTAGTCGAATTGAACAACTTCAGTTTAAACTGATCGTTCGCTGTAATCAAGAAATCCTCTTTCATAACCGGCGGATACCACGCGAGACTCAAAGGTACCCCGCTTTGCTCGATTTTATTAGTGCTGGCAATTCGGATGTCGTCTTCCGAACTGTTTTCAAGGTCGTACTCGACTAGCACTCTGTCTCTACCGATTGACATAAGTCGTGGAAACTCGTTTTCCAGTGCGACTCCGAACATGATTTCCGTGATCTCTTTGTAGTGCGCTCGGTTTTTGCCGAAGAAAACAAATGGCGCCGAACCTTCGCTAAACTGAGCTTTGTAGACAACCACGCATAAGTCTTTATCTGCAGTCACGAGATATTTAGAATTGTGCGAGAATTTGATATGGGTGATTGACTTTTGCGACATGGCAAAAGGTTGTTTGAGTTCATCAGCCAAGGTCAAAGAATCCATGACCCGAACATTTCCATCGTCAAACCCAAAGGCGATAAAGGTACCTGAGGGGTCATAGGTCAAACATGTCACTAATTGTTTGGGTTTCAGCTTAAGATCACACACGACTTTTTTCTTCTCATAGTCCCAGACTTTGATATAACCTGCAAAACTTCCCATGCAAATGTGCGACCTTTTCGGATGCGCTGCCAGTGCGTAGATTGCTTCATCGTGCTCCTGTGAAATCATTACTAGTTCAGTCCCGTCATTTTGAACCTTTCCTACTTTGGCAGTTATGGTGCTGATGATGAAATCTTTAATGGGAAATTTATTCGCTTCAATTGTCGCATCTGTCGGCATTTTGTTGTTCCTGGCTACCGTGAACGGAAACCCTGGACAGTACGCGAACGACACTGAATTAATGGGGCCAATTCTGTCGAAGTCCTGATACCAATTGATCATTCTTAATTGGTTGTCGTAGAACTTAATGCACCCAGCAATATCACCAGTGACTACGTATTGGTCATGGGTTGTCAATACCGTTAAGGCTCGCTCTTGCAGCTTCACAAGTTTGAATGCTTTTAGTTTGTATAGTGCCGAAGGGGTGCTAGCAGCTTGTCGGTCCAGAGCCTTGTCAGGAGCCCAAACAACCACGTTGCCAGCGCTCGTTGCCGTGAACGTCCATTTACTTCCAGGAGCGTGAATAGATTGGCTGAAGGTACCGACAAATCTATTGAAGTCCTTATCGGTCACTTTAGGGTCATGGTAGTTCAAGTTTTCAGCACCGTCCCAAAGGTAGAATACGACTTGATCTTGGCTGTTAGATACCAACTGAAATGGATTAGCTGGATTGAACTTGATGAACGTTTGAACATGAGTGTCATGGAGGCTCAGAGTGACACTTGCGGTGGCGCTGACACCACTACGAGATGTCCAATCCCAGATGCTGACAGATTGTGGAGTCGAAGAGCTGACACTAGCTATATACTTGGCATCATTAGTCATCGCAATTGCTGCGACACCTGTGTCATCGCCAGATCCGTCAGCACTCGGATGGGGATCAAAAATGGTCTGAACCGGGATGAAAGTGAAGGTATCCCAAATAATTATGGACGCGAACTTCCCAGAATCGGCAGTCACCAGCCAGCGTTTATCTTCGCTTGTAACCGTGCATGTAATTGCGTGACTGTGGCCTTGAAGTAATGTTTGAGTGTTTTCGTTGAAGTCGTACAAAACAGCAATATTCGAACACGTGTACAAAACCGAATCACGGCCAGGATCATCCGCGTTTAGTTTGTACAGCATGTTTAGAGCTGGGCAATATTTGTTCACCCCGAAGCACCAGTCGAGATTCAAGCAATGATTTAACTGTTTGGCAGTCGGCTTTGAGTTTGCCGACGATCCCCTCTTTTTCTCCGGCTGCTCTTTTTTAACCTGACCTGCCGGTGGAGGCTCGGTAGAAGGACCTTCTGTTGTTGTGGACAAATGAGCGTCTGATGAATGACCACCTGCACGACTTGTTGGCTGGGAGGTTTTCTGACCCTCGCCTTCTGTTCCCATTGTTCCCTCGTTCTGAACAGTCTCTTGCTCTGTTCGCATTTCAGAAAGTTCTTGCGCGTTTGGTCCAACAGGTGCGACGATTGTATCATCCGGTTTTATTTTCCCTTCTGTTTCCACGTCCTGTCCTCCTTCTGGAATCGTTTCAGTTCCCGGTTTCTGGAACTCGGGCACTCTGTCGGATGGAATTTGATCTGTTATGTACTCATCTTCAATATGGTTAGAATCTGCTTCGCCTAGCATCTTGTTAGCCATGCTTTCTCTATCATTGTCTAAGTTTTCTTCTCCCTCTTGACTACTCGCGTCATCTTCCTCGTCGTGAACTTTTGCTACTGTTTCAGCATTTTCATCTCCAGGAGTTTCAGCAGGAACTTCTTCGTTTACTTTGTTGTCTTCGGGCTCTTTCAGCTCCTCGACTGTCTCATCGGCCCCAGCATCGTCTTCCGCCTTTTCTTTCGGTGGTTCGTCTTGACCATCTTCTTCAATTTTGTCTCCAGAGTTCTCTTCATTAACTGTTCCCTCCCCCTCCTTGCCCGGCTGAATCTGAAAAAAAAATATTGAGTTGATTACAGTCCAGTTATGAGAATAATTCAACTTAAGTCTATCAGAGCGACGCAAGCCAAAGTATTTCCTAGTTTTAAAATAGTGCAGGTTTTGGCAAACTAGTGCATCACCTTTAAAAAAATAGTATACCAAGGGTATAGCCGGCTGCTGTGTAGAACCGTAAATTTGCGAACTGGGAAATCCTCCCAGAAACGCAACGAAGAGTTTTTAAAAACTGTTGTTTTTCAATATCTTTTATGGAGGGACTGAATGAAATTAATGCGAAGGGGGAAGTCTAGTTAGTGTTTCCTAACTATTAACTTGATCAGTTACTTATTGTGTGATTTTTTTCATGCTTTTTCCACTATCATAATCTTCGCCCCTAGTCATAATCTATTTGGAAAGCAAAACCATTTTTGTTGCAAGAAAATGTTTCTTGGAGTTTTATTTTACAAGCAAAGTTATAACCGGAAAGGGTGTAATGATATATACTCGATCGCTACTCTTGTCTTTCTCATAAATCTTTAAAAATGAGCCCAAAAAATTTCAATCGAGGCCATAGTATGTGAAGTGGTAGATTCAATAAAGTGCTAGATGATTTCATATTTATGCATGCTCTTCACACTGGCGCGCTCGTCATTATGCTCATTTACTTGTACAAAACTTTAAGCGTTTCACCAGATAAAAATAGTTTAACCTTATAAGCAAGCGCTTAAAAGGAACCCAGGCTCAATATTTCGAAAACACTGCGCAACATCGAAACAACTACTGAAACTCGAAATAGAATTAAAACTTTAATTCAATCGAATCATTTGGAAAAAAAACATCCGAATTTTTGATGTCGTATATTGTCAGATAGTCGACAGTGCCCGCAGGAAAATCATCAACAAACCAGCAATCAATTAGCACTAGTTTGCGACTAGTGGTGCAATAGTTTGCGAAAAGTGTGAAATGCGTTCTCGGATTAGCTATTTTTGTTCCGTCTTTCGTAACGAAAGTAACGGAATATTTATGCTCGGGGACAAATTTCGTCATTCTTGTCGGAATTTCTTTATATCACTCAAGAGGTATCGTTGTCTTGAGCTTAAACTTGAAAAGATATTTCACCTGTAATCCTTTTTTATAAAGTTACGGGGGTTTGATTTTTGCCATTTTGGCCAATTTGGGACTATTAAAGCGCGATATATTTGAACGCGTTAACGGAGATTTAATCCGTCTTATAAATCGTTCCAAATTGGTTAAAAGAAGCTGATTCGCAATAATTAATTTGTTACTAGCAGCAAAATCTTCCATTTTTTTTACTTTAAGTGGCGTGTGGGCGTTGAGTTTCACAAAAAATCTCAACATAAAAAATCATTTTTTATTACATTTATTTTGTTCATGTTTTTACTGCCCCATAGACCTTAAAGGGCAGCTGGACCAATCAGGGCTCTGTCCTGATACGACCAGTCTTGTTTTCTATTTAGCCAGCAACTGCTAAGCAAATCTGAGACTCAATTCGGCTAAATAACAGTTTTTAAAAGCAGCATGCAATCTTGTAGACTAAACTGCGTGCGCGACAGCTAAGTCAAAAAGTAAAATATATTTTTCAAAATAAATGTTTCGTACTTTACGCAAGCGTTATTGGCCAAATAAAAGAGCGCCGAAGTACAGGAGTGCCAAAAAAACCTTGCCAAAGAGAATCGATTTTTTTTTCAAAACTAATCGTTGACTAAATTGATTGTTGAAATTAATTTTCAAAATTAATCGTTGACAAAAATACTTTTTGAAAAGACAATTATGAATGAAATGACATACACAACCAAATAACTGACCTCTAAAAATATACGAAAACTTTTAACGCCGTAAACTGAAGCAATCTCAGAGTAACCCTCAGTCTATCTAAGAAACCTTCAGTCTAGTAAAACAGATTGTGGATAAATAAAGAAAAACCATCAATTCAAACAGTGCTAACGTTTGAGCCGAGATATGTCGACACTTTCGACTTAAAAAAAACGAAAGAAAAGAGTGCAATAACTTTAACGCCATACTGAATTTCAAGCCTATCTAATGTATCAAAAACACAGGTGATTTTTGTTTAACTTAAAATTTGGTATATCAATGCTTTTCAGATAGCATGGGAGAAAAATTTTGTCACAAGCACAAAAATCAACTAGCCACTCTATTTCTTTAAAAGTCGGAACAACATACAAATCTTTTTCGAAAATGAGCGAAAAATTTAAATGATTTGATACGAATAAAGAAAATTGCTTGCTCAAGAAAGTGATAAGCTTGCTTAGACACTTCAGGTCGTACAGCTCTATAAAAACAATGAAAATATCCGCAGCAGTTTTGAGTGCTGCGAGCAGTTTTTTTTTGTATTCGAACCTGAAAATCTTCTTTTTGTTCCGAATTTTGTAACAAAAGCAACCGAATATTTGGGCTCAGTTTGATTTGTTTCTTCAAACAAATTTTGACATTGTAACTAGCCCTTTTTAACAACTTCTTAATCTCAATTTTTGACAATTTTGGTCATTTCTTAATCAGATCGTTTTAACTAGCCATGTTTGACGATTTCCTAATCTTAAATTTTGACGAGTTTATTCATTTTTTAATCAGACTATTTCTATATTTTGACTGGATTTATCTATGTTTTGCAAGTGTTTGACTTATGTTATACTCGTCCGTTTATTGGGTTTGGCAGCGTTTGCGAGTGGTTTCGACTGTGATCGACCTATCTTTTGGTTGTGTTGGACATGCTCGATTGTGCATCGACAGTGATCGACCATTGCATATTAAGCTCGTCTACGAGCTGGTCGAAACATGCCAATTTTTGGTCGAGCTGGTCGAAATATTCAGATTTTTGGACGAGACGGTCGAAACAAAGTGAGCACCTCGACCCGGGTATTTTGCGTTCAGCTAAAGCATTTTTATCCTGCAAGTTTCAATTTTTAGATGGCCTTGAAACGGTTACATGTCAGTATTTAGACAGCCGCGTATTCATACTGGTCAGTATTTAGACAAATACTGTTTCAACCAATCAGAATCGAGGCACAGAAGAAATTAATAAATAATTATTATTTATTTTGGATTATTTATGTTTTTTTCTCGATTATGTTTTTGTTGCGTGGAAGCGTGAAATAGTTGGAAAATCGCGGGTATTCACTATCGAGTTCAATTCATCAACGCAGTTTCTGAGTTTTATCAAATCTCCGCCTGTTCTACATAATATCACCGAATTTGAAGTCGAACTGATCAACAGTTATGAAATGAGAAGCTTTTATAACATTACAGTTTATTTGAAACACCCTGTATTGTTGTTGTTGTTGTTGTTGGGGATTCACAGCACTGCTGTTGGGATTCTTGGTCCCGGCGTCTTCTCTACAACAATGTCCACTTGTTTCTGCACGTGATACAATCACAGAATAATTGCCACGTGCACGTTGTCATTTCTGAAAATCTCTCGTTTACAAATTTCCACATCGTGTTTAAAATTCTCGTCTTGAGGCCGATTCGTTTATCAAAATGAATATATGGTTCTAATCGATTTACAATCCTACTGGTTCTGAAAACAAATTCGTTTCTCGCTTTTTCCGTTCTCACTTTTCGCATCTCAAAAATTTCTGTATTTCTAGCCCGTGTGGTTCGCCTGTTTAACACTATTTCATTTCGTTCATTAGAATCAAGACTGGCAAGAAGTAAGATGTTATTTAGCTGGATGAACATGGGCAGGGGTAAAATGTTTAGCAAGCGTAGTTCGTTGATGTACACTCCCGTTTTATTTCCAGTGATCCAACGGATTACTTTCTTTTGAAATCGCTCCAACTGCAATTGATCCCCCCTCGATATATGTGTACATGAGAGTCCGTATAATAACACTGGGAGTATTAGTGACTTATACAGGCCTAACTTTACAAACGTATTTATCTTTGCTGATAGGTTTCTTCTCAGGAGGTACAGTACTTGGTTTGCCTTCTTTAATCTTGTTTCAATGTGTACCTTCCAACTTAAATCGCCCGACACAAAAATTCCCAGATCTTTCACAACCATCGATGTTCCAAGCACTACACCAAAAAGCATAGAGTTAGCGTCTCCGCCCCTAAAACTTACTTTTGCACATTTATCTAGTGCTAATTCCATTTTGTTTTCAGTTACCCACTGCTGAATTTTGTCCAGATCTTCTTGAATTTCAATTGATGTTTTTTTGATGGAAAGTAGTTTAAGATCATCCGCAAAAATATATGGTTCAGAGAATTTGAGTACTTCAGGTAGGTCGTTAATAAAAATGCAAAAGAGCAGTGGTCCCAAAAGTGATCCTTGGGGAACACCACTAGTGACTTCTAAAACTTTTGAGCTGATATTGTCTACTCGTACAAACTGTTTCCTGTTTTTCAAATAGTCATAGAGTACCTCTAACATGCAGCCTCCTATTCCTATAAGTGCAACTTTCTTAAGTAGATCAAAATGCGGAACTTTATCAAAGGTTTTTGCAAAGTCAGTGTAGAATGCTACAATTTCTGCGTTTGAGTCATTGTCAAGCGCTTCATATATTTCTTTCAGGAAAGAGAGCATGTTTGTCAAAACTGATCTACCTTTAGTAAAACCGTGTTGATGTTTCGTCAAATACCAGGCAAAGTAAGGGTACAGGTCTTTGTATATACATTTTTCAAGGACTTTGCTGTCAATATTTAATAGCGATACTGGTCGATAGTTGTTCACCATTTTTCGGTCACCTTTTTTGTGAACAGGAGTAACTGCAGCTGTTTTCCATGAATCAGGTATTTTTCGTAGGCGTTTTACGTTTCTCAAAAGTTTGTTCATCGGTTTGCATATATTGCGGTTCGTTTTCTGAAAAAAGCTAGGTGGCAACCCATTTGGGCCGCGTGACTTTGTTACGTCCAGAGTTGATAAAATCTCACTTACTGTCTTTTTCGATATATCAAATTTCGTTAACAAGGGATTTTCAAATTGAATATCTCTAATACTAAAACTTTCTTTAGGATTAAAAACTGAATGAAAGA